CTCTCTTGATATCCAAGATGGATCCGATTAAGTACATTTCTAAAAATTCAGCTCTCATGGAAAGAGTAGCTCGTTGGTAGATGATTTTAACTGAATAAATATCTAGTATACTACCCAGAAAGCTATAAAAGGTAGTGTATTGACAGATTTTCTTGCTCACCAGCCTATGGAAGATGACTATCAGCCGATGATGTTTGAGTTTCGAGATGAAGACATTATGTACATATAGGATTGTAATATTCCCAGCCCAGAGGAAGGACCGGAACCAAGATCACGATGGACGATGGTGTTCGATGGTTCCTCAAATGCATCGGGTAATGATGTTGGTGCTGTTATTACTTCTCCTGAAGGTTTCCATACTCCTTTCACTGCTAAAGTTTGTTTTGATTATATTAATAATATGGCTGAGTATGAAGCTTTTATTTTCATATTAGAAGTTGCTATTGATTTGCGAATCAAGATATTACAAGTCTATGGGTATTTTGCTCTAGTAATCAGTCAGATCAACGGAGATTAGGAGACTCGTCACCTTAATTTGATTTTGTATCGAGAGCATGTTATGAAGTTAATCCTGTACTTCGATGAAATCACTTTCAAGCACATCCTGAGGGAGGAGAATAACTTCGCAGACACTTTGGCTACTCTATCATCCATGTTTAAAGTCAGATGGGCAAATGAGACCCCCTCTATCACTATCTTGAGGTTGGATGAGTCATCATTCTGTTATGAGATAAAAGTGGAAGTTGATGAGAAACCTTGGGTTTTATGATATCAAAAGATATCTTGAAATGCAGGAATACCCATAGGATGCATCTATCACATATAAGAAGACTTTGTGGAAGTACTCAACTAAGTTTTTCCTCAATGGCGGGGTTTTGTACAAAAGGAACTATGACTCTGTTTTGCTCAGATGTGTAGATAGACACGAATCAAATAAGATCATAGAAGAGATACATGAAGGTTCCTTTGGAACACATTCCAGTGGGCACACCATGGACAAGAAAATATTGAGAGCAGGTTAATATTGGTGTACCATGGAAAACGATCATTACAATCACTTCAAAATTTGTTACAAGTGTCAGATTTATGCCGATAAAATTCATGTGCCACCTATTCCGCTGAATATTTTGACTTCTCCTTGGCCCTTTAGAATGTGGGCATTGATATGATTGGACGCATTGAGCCGACTTCTTGCAATGGACATCACTTTACTCTGGTTTCCATTGATTACTTCACCAAAGTGGTCGAAATTGCATCGTATGCCAACTTCACCAAGAAAGTGGTTACTTGATTCATCAAGCAAAATATTATTTATCATTATGGGATTCCCGAGAAGATCATTACTCATAATGTATCGAATCTCAACAATAAGATGATGAAAGAGCTATGTGACAATTTCAAGATAAAGCATCACAATTCTTCTCCTAATCGTCCAAAGATCAATGGTGTTGTTGAGGCAACAAATGAGAACATTAAGAAGATTGTGCAGAAAATGGTTGTGACCTGCAAAGATTGTCATAAGATGTTTCTATTTGCGATGTATGGTTATCGGACTTCACGTAATTTGACTGGGGCAACCCCATTCTCTTTGGTATACAGTATGGAAGTATTCCTTCCCATAGAAGTGGAAATACCCTCTTTAAGGATCATGACAGATGTACGACTTGATGAAGTTAAGTGGGTTCGAAACAGACTTGATCAGTTGAATCTCGTTGATGAGAAGAGGTTGACAGCTATTTTCCATGGGTAGTTATACCAGAGGAGGATGAAGAAAGCTTTTGACAAGAAAGTGCATCCTCAGAATTTCCAAGCTGGTGATCTGGTGCTGAAGAGGATCTTGCCTCCCAATAATACAGATGCTCGAGGCAAATGGGCTCCGAATTATGAAGGACCATATGTTGTAAAGAAAGTCTTATCAGGAGTATCTATGATGCTTATAACTATGGACGAAGAGGATTCCCCTCACCCCGTCAATGCAGACATAGTTAAAAAATACTTCGCATGAAATGACCCGCTAAGTCGATGACTTAGGAAAAAAGGGCGTCTCGGAGAACAAAAGAATGAATAAAAGGTCTGGGAAAAAATTAGGAACAAAAAAGAAGAAGTTAAAAGAATAAAAAGAATTTTGTACATCCGCTAAGTTGAAAACCTGAAAAAGGCAGCTTAGGCAAAAATGGGTATCTCGGTGGATTGAAAACCCTAAAGGGCCATCCAGGTAAAAGTTAGGGATTTAAAGAGAATGAACATGGTTTTCATTGTATGTGTAACAGTATTCTCCACCATAGTGGTTAACTTGGAAGGATAAGGAATCAGTCCAATCAGTTTCTTTATAAAGCAAGATATTAAGGAGCTTTGAGGTTATAAGAGTCATAGCAGAGTCGGAACCCGATCGAAATCTGTCTTCACATTGTCATCTCTGTATCTCCTCTTTATGTTTTGTATGAAATTACCTCTTTTAGGGATTGCTTCTTGATGTAAATGCCTGTTTACACTATTTACAGGCCATTAGATCAATCAATAAAATTTTCTTTTATCCAAAAGTTGCATTTTTTACTTTTATTATTTTGATTGCAGAAACGTCCAATTTTTGATAAACTTTTGAATTTAAAAATATTGAAGTTACACAAATCATGATATAAACAGTTGAAACTACTTGAGATTTCAGGTGCCTTGGGCGATGGCCAAAGTTTTCCATTTCCTACCTGGGACATGTTCTTATGATTTTGTTTTGTAGGTACTCTGTGTTCACTCATGAAAAATAGGGTAGGATCAAGAAAGCAAAGTGTATTCGACGTTGTTACCCACACAAAGTGCTTTATGGAAATAATGTTTCTCCAAACAAAACCTTTTTCCTCAGTGTGATCTGCATTCTTTCTCAACAAAGGCTTGTTTGCTAAGATATTTCTCTTATGAGATATCTCCCTAAAAGAGCATCTCAAGCGAGGTCTGGTACCGCCATCTTTATCTCCAATGAGGTCTGGTGCAACGTTTATCCCCAAATGTGATTTGTTATCTCCCTAATGAAGTTTGCATCTACTTCATCAGTGAAGTTGGCACTCGTCTTCCCCATGAAGTTTGCACCCATCTCCTCAATATGGTTGGCATTTATATCCCTAGTGTGGTTTGCATCTCTTAAAGATTCTTGTAAGAATTATCAGTAAGAGATCATCCTTATCTCCACGAAGTCGTTGTTCTTTCTTAGTAGAGCTAGTTTTCTCCCCAATGAGATTATGCGGCGGTGGATATTCAAGTTTGGTTTCCCCGGTAACAGAAGAGGTTATTTCTATCTCTAGCGAAATTTGAGCTTTGGGGAGTTCCTGGTTTGAGATATATCTCCTCCCAATGAAGCATTTTCCTTTTCCCCAGTGGAATTTGCACTTGAATTCATTCCCCATTGATATCGTTCAAGGAGTTGACTTCTTCTCCCTAGTAAGGTAGGTTGGGTGAAAGCCTTCCTATGTTAATATCCCAGTATGGCTCGCACTTGTGAGGGTTCTCATAATAATCATCTTATTCCTCAATGATGGAAGGTGTTGTGTTATCCCCAGTAGAAGCTTCTTTCTGTCAAGGACTCTATGCAGAGCGATCTATTTTCCCTTAGTAAAATGTTTCTTCCCCGGGTGAGATTCGTTCTCCAAGTGGAGTTCGTCATCGAGTTTCTTTTATTCAATAATTCCCGTTATCCCCGTTTGAGTTTTCTTATCCCTAGTGAAGTCTTCTTTCCTCAAGAACTCTATGCAAGAAGATCTATATTTCCCCAAGCGAAGTGCTCCTTATTTTCAGTAGGAAGATATCATTTCCCCAGGAAGTTAAGAGCTATTTGGAGTCGAATATATCTCCTCGGAGAACTACAATTTATTTTTGCAGTGTTCTCTCTAAAGTCCACTTTTCAGTGGCATCCCTCCTCGGAGTCAGCATGTTTGAATTTCAATCTCGCATCGCAGTTCATCCCCAGTGGTCGTCAGTTCAGATTATTTTTCCTTGTTGAAGTCCAATTTCCCAAGTATGATTCTAACTCCTTCTAACCTCACTAACCAACTACCTCTAACATAATTTCTACCTTCCTAACTCACAGTAACAACTAACAGAAAATTAGAACAGGGCTAGCCGTTTCAATAACCTCTTTAACCAACTCCTAAACTTCCAATAACCAATCCTAACCGAAATTCCAACCAACTTTTAATCGATTAACAACTCCAACTAACTTCCTAACAACTCTTAACCGAAACTAACAGAATCCGACAGACTTATAACAGAAAACTTCCAGCAGAAACAAAAAAGGCGATAATAGAAAAGAAGAGAAGAAGGCTCATGATTCATTCATAAACCAGGAAAAACTCACAGAAATTTTTTTCTCACTCTCTCCTCCATAACCATTCTTCTTCCTTCCCTGCAAACACAAAAAACTACCACATCTCAATATTCTGCAACCTTCAAGAATCGGCTCTTCTTTGATTTCATTCCACCTTCATCATCTTTCTCTCAATTCTTCATCTCTCACCATTCATCCTATGCAACTTCATCCTTCCATTCTCATATTCATCGATCTCCACCATTGTCTCCCTCTATACAAACCCTCACCCTTATCCTAGCTATTCTCAATCTTCATTGTCCCTCATCCTATACTCTTTGCTACTCACAGAGCCATCTTGAAACCATGCAATAACCGTGTCGAGATTCGGCAATTGTGCAGAGTCACACGCGAAAGGCTGAGACAGAGAGAAATAGAATGCAAGAGGCGCACAAAGAGAAGAAGGAGAAGAAGGAGAAAAGAGGTTCATACACGAAGATACAAGAATCTCTAGCGTTCTTGTCATATCTCTATTGAAGTGCTATCAGAGCAACTTCGCTAAGTAAGTCTCAGAACTTCAAGCATCTTTTTTATATCCTTGTCTTGATTGAGTCTTCCTGAAACGAAACATACGGTAGAAAATTTGAAGCCTCAACTACGGATGTTTAATTTTGGTTTTTCATGAGGGTTAGAGTTTTTTGCGAGTGTGTTAGGTTCGGCACTGTTGAGGCTTTATTGGAAGAAATGAAGTGAGATCAGATATAGGGTGAGACGAAGCTCCGAATTGAGACGGAGGCACGAGCAGTGAAGTTAGATAGAGGCGAAGGGGCCTTTGTTGCATCGAATGGAGATTGAGACGGATATTGAGGAGGAGATAAACTGAGTGTTTTTGTGATGACCAGGAAACAGAGACGGCGGCGGAGTAAGGAAAACAGAGAGATGAGGATGAAGGTTTGGCTGTCGTGGGTAAGATGAGGGAGAAGGAATAAACGTCGAGGGAGATGAAGAGCCACATAATAACCCTAATGTCCTTTGTTTTGATTTTTTTCTCTATAATTACAATTGGATAAGAGTGTAGCTTTGGACCAGATCTTACTCCCTCTGGGCCCCTGATACGTTTTTTGGAGCCTGGATGGCATTGAACAAAAAATTGGCTTGTTGGACCGTACCATACTCCTGGCCTGTTCTAGTTTTTTTCTGGAGAATAAAAACTAGATTGTGTTCTACTAGACCGAACCAGATAACCTTTTTTAGGCTCATACACTACTTTATTTTTTTTGGCATGCTGAAGCCAAAGACAACAAAGATTCTGTTATTGGACCGAAAGCATAACCTTTTTAGGCCCAATTATGATAATTTTTAATACATGATGCTTATGAGCCAAAACAATACTTGTTGAACTCTACTCCTGGGCCGAATTGCATTTCCCTAGGCCCATTTGCAATTTGTTTGAAATCCAATTGGACAAAATAAAAATAGCATTGGACCCCTTCTGAATGGGCCTAACGCCCTGGTTTCTACCACCCCCTAGATTTCATTTTTTTTACCCCCGACTCTTTCTAATTGTTTTATTTTTTCTTTTAGTTTAAATTTTCTTTTAAACTTTATTAATAAAGACTTAGTGATAAAAAAAACAATAAAAAATGGTATAATATAATAGAATTTTTTTAGGAATTAATTCTTTATTTTTTATAGAATTTTCTCACATAAAAACTAATAAAAATATATTTTTCTTTTAGTTATTATTCGTATTTCATACTGTCGTGCCTCATTATTTTTTACACGTTTGTTCATTGTGCAAGGTACATTTTTTATGCTTTCGATCGTGTAACATAACAATTTGTTAAGTGATTGAAACATATGACTTATGCCCGCTTCCGATGCGACACGCCTTATTTCTCATCGTCCTGAGAAATTCATATTATATTATTTTTTGTCCAGACGCATGTAATATTTTGTGATGCTTTGTGCAGGAACTTCTGATTACGCGTTGAATTTGCAACACGCGTTTGCTTTTATATTAGTTAGATATCATTTCTAACTTTGTTTGCTTCTTGATGAAGCTTGCTCGACACGTACTCCCTACTTCTCCACTGCTTTCGTCTGCTTTCAAAGATTTGCTTGCTCGTGGTAGTTACCGCTACTACTTGTACATTTCTCCGCACTTTACTGTATTTCTTTACCACTTTCTAGAGATCATGAGAAGTAGGGTTTTACTGCTTTCTGATGCCATGAGAAGTAGGGTAGAGATGTATGATTGGGATCTTAGTTGCTGATCATGTTAGGAATCCCTCTGGTTTATTTAAAGACCCGTTTAGGGCAATTCCGCTTTGTGTGCTTTTTGTGTGCTATTTGTGTTTGTTTAAAACCCTAACTTTAAAGTAGGTATTCTACACATGTGTTTAAATTTGTGCTTGTATAGAGGGATGATGGTTTTATGTCCTTTTATGGCAACCAATCCTAAGTCCTCCGAAAGAGGCAAATGGAAAGGGTTAGCAATTAACCCCCACCAGTTTTCGTCTGTGTCGTTCCTATGCTCACTTTTTGCAAGTTTCGAGATCCAAACACGTTCCCAAGATCATGTGTATTCGAGTCCATCAAGTGGGTAAGATTTTTGAAATCAAACCCCTACACTTTGTCAGGAGTTCGCATTGGCCGATGTTGACACTTCATGATCATTCATATTTTCTTTTATCGCCTACCTCGATCTTCTATATCTTGGTTAGGCCATTACCCTAGTTAGTGTGCGCTACTCGTGGCATGTGTGTTCTCTTTTTATCTTTGCTTGTTTTTTTATCCTTTTATATACCACGTACCCTTAGGATGCGCTTGTTCCCTTCGGATGCAAGTTAGATCTTAGGTGGTAAACCATGCATGCTAACATTAGGTAGATATTTCCCTTTAATCCAAACCTTAGGACTACCATTGTATGATAACATTAGGATTAGAAATAGGCTAGTCTCCCTTAGACTCTTTTCTTACCCTTTTTTCCTCCTTGCATCTAAAACCAAGACTTCCTTTTCTTAGCAAATCATATAATATGCTAATCATACTTAAACCCCTTTTCAAGGTAAAAAACACAAACCAATCAAGTGTGGCATCTTGCCTTGAGGGCGTAACTCAAAACCATTTTCAGGTAAGGACATGTTAATTTACTTTTGTGCCAATGTGTGAGTCTCCAAAGGTTGATTTGCAGCAGAAGACGGAATTAACATTGTTCATAAAAAAACACAAAAAGAACAAAAACATGTATGCCAAACTACGGTAACTCTGATTCCTCAAAAAGGTTACATAGGCATTGGGGTAGGGCCCGAACGAGTACAACTTTATTTTCCCTACATTATTTTCTCCTTTCTTTTGCATGCATTATTCCTCAGTAGTAAGTAGTAAGCATAGATTAGACACACCCATAAGATAGATAACAAGAGTGGATACAAGAGAGTACCATAGGCGTGTGGGATGCTAATACCTTCCCCTTGCATAACGGACTCCCTTACCCGATCTCTCGGTTGCAAGACTGTGACTTCTCCCTTTTCAGGTTTTCTCGATGTTCCCTTTTCCCTTCATGTGGGATAAAAGATGTTTAATGGCGACTTTAATGTCTGGTAATTTTCAGCTGGTTGTTTCAGCTGGCACTTCATTGGGGAAAGATCGGCCAATTGCTGGTCCATCCCGGAGTCTCTCCTAGCTCTTGTTTTCTTTCCTTTGGGTGTTTATTTTTACGCTTTTAGTTTATGCATCCATACATGATTACCTTAGCATATGTATGCATTTCATTTTACTGTTTTCCATATACTACGGATGTACTGGATCTGCTTCTTATTGGGTGGATGTTACTACGAGGTAAAAGGCCTAATACCCAGGCCAGAGTTGTATACCACTATGAACACTAGGAATAGAGTGGTGAGTCATGACGGACGATATGCGTGTCCCTGTCACCATCCGATCATGAAGCCACAGTCAGTTTAGGTTTAAGTGAGGTATCGTCAGCATCACGGATGTGCATGATAATGATACTTTCAGGTGAACTATGATTCTGATTATCCATGACCTTACCTTGACCTAGTTTACATCCGTGAGTGGGGAAGGGATAATCTTTACAGGTACCATTGGTGACTTGTTCTGTTGGTGACCTGTTATATTGGTGATGACTATGGGGTTCTCAGATTTATTTTTTGAGTTCCTAATCTGATGTTCATAGGGTTCTTCCGGTTATGCAGAGACAGTACAGTAGAGATCAGTATCATGGAATTAGTAATTCCATGATCACTTGCACTTACATCATAGCATGTTTACTTTTTAAAAGAAAATGTCAGAAAAATGAAACTATATACTAACCTTGCATGTGTGTGTCCATTCCGGGGTATCTTACGAAGTTATAGTTTCCATCAGTAACGTCTAGCAACAATGATGTTCTCAAGAGTACTAGAAGAGACAATTTTACTTATCAGTTCCGCTCAAGCTCTTGGTCTTCTTTGAAGAGTTTGAAATACCATTTAGTCCATCCTAATGTAGAGGTTTTTCAGGGAGAGGCACTTTGACTCTATTAAGTGTTCAGGTGGATAATGGAGATCTCTGGACTCTGCTTCAGTTTTATGACTATGAGTTACACTATTTCACCTCCCAAGACTATCAGATCATCCCGATTTTTGAAGAGTACCCTCATTTGTTCAAACATCACTAAGCAAATGCCGTTGTTGCTGTTCCGAACAAGCCCAGTCTTGAAGCTGTCGCTAAGGCACTTTATTTGGGCCTTAGTGATATGAAATAGAGATGGATAAACAATGGTGGCCTACTCTTGGACTTCTGGGTCGTTAAAGCAGAAGAAATGGCTAAATGTGGTACTTGGTGTGCAGTCTATGACACAGTTCAACAAGGAAATTACAAATCTCAAAAGGCACGTTAAAGGCAACGATGGGGGGGAAAAGTCATGCCGCAAACGAATATTATGTTGATCTGTTAACTCGATTCCGTAGTCTGGAGATCACGATGATCCAAAAGGATGAGGTGCTTCAAAGTCTGGTTTTGAACACTTGGGGCACAGTCTGTTGCACTATTTAGAGCTAGGAGATTGATCATTACATTGTTGTTTCGATTACCGCCAGACTTGTTGAACAGAATCACTTATCCCATACTTTCGCAACTTTCTTGTATTGAACTCCACTGGAATTTCTCCTATTTCTGGATATTTTCTTTATATGGTCGTTCTTATTATCATGTTGCTCGATTATTACTGACGTTGATTAAGCTGCGAAAAACCGGAATGGACAATCATTTCATACATCATACATATCATGCATTTCATGAATTGCAGGTTTTCTAGATGGAATTCTTATCTGATGGTTTTGCCTTTTATTATCAGAATCTACAAGATGGCTTCCTTACATCCCTATTGCACTTGAGCCATGAAACTAAGAATTATGGAGCAGATTGAGCAGAACCAGGCCGTCCATCGCAAAGACATGGACACCATGGGTGATCGAATGAATCAACTCATGGAAACTCTTCATGCCGTTATCCAGGGGCGGGAAGAGCTCAGATTGAGTGTTACTAAGCTGGTTGGCAGTGCCTCTACGTCTGAGAATGGTGGATCCAAGAATGACAATGGGGGAATCCATAAGGAAAGCCCTCGGATGATTATGGATGATCACCATGATGTCATCGATCTCGACGGCCCTCCAAAGGATTCTACAGCTGATTTGTCTAAAACTGCTAAAATGTACAAGGCTTTGGAAGAATGTTTGAAGGCTATGGGGACTTCCAAAAGGTCGGGATTCAGTGTTGCTGCTATGTGTTTGGTTCCGGGGGTCATGATTCCACCAAAGTTCAAAGTACCAGAATTAGACAAGTATAATGGGGTTACATGTCCAGAGACTCATCTCCAATCTTACTGCAGAAAGATGGCCGCTTATGCTAGCAACGAGCCGTTGCTCATGCATTTTTTTCAAGACATCCTGGATGAAGCTCCACTGGAGTGGTACATGCAGTTAGAGAAAACTCATGTTAGTACTTGAG